CATTGCATTGGTAGAGTTTTAGCCAAAGACTCTGCATTGAACTTCAACATACGGTAACAGTCATGAACAGATCATGGAAAAAAGCGGTGTACTTGCATTATTGAGGAGATTACTTCGACTAAAATCTAGGGGTAATAATTGTCTTATGGAGACGTTCAAATCCATAGGAAATTAGGTAGTAGGTCCTTACCATGTCCCAAAATGCTTCCTTTCTTCTCTAGTTACCATACCATGTGCTGGTTTTTATTTGCAGCACTTAGCCACTCAGAATTTCTGTTTGCCTCGATCATTTTTTGAGTATTCATATATGTATCAAGTCCAAAATTTTGTTTCCAGTGCAGGACTTCTTGGAGATGGGGGTTTTGTTTAGTTGTCTCATTCCTTAGCTTATTGCTGAAGGCCTCGGACAAAAATCTGAAATTTTCTTTTGGGTGTTTGTGTAGATTGCTGGTTGTTAGATATTCTATAGATAGAGTGTTTGCTTAAAGAAATTTTAAACATTTGCGTTTGTCCCCTTCTTCACCCAACTATATATATATATATATATATATATATATATTTTTCCTTGAGATGGAATCAGATTTTCTGTTTCTTAAGCTGTATTATAATTATGGACTCCAAATAAAGATATCACCACTCCGATCCATAATATAAAACATCATATTGCCGTGCCAATGCCTAGTGGTGGACCTGGTATCAATGTTGTGGAGGAGCTTCGCAAAATGGCACAACAATTTCCAGAAAAGAACAAAAAGTGAAAACGAGAGACCATGTGAGGGCCCCCGAAATCCCTTTCCTCACCATAAAAGTATTGCAATATCATTGTCTGCCAAAACTTCCTCATCTTCCCTAAGCAAAGACAATATTCATATTTCTACCGTCTCCAAGAATCTTCATTATTCTCTCCTCCCAAATATCAATCCCATAAATGGAAAACGAAAATAAGTATGAAAATTTTACTCTTTCTGTGTCAAAGTTAACAAATCAAGATTGTTCACAATGCTTATGAACTTCTAAAAACAAAAATTTGGATGTACAATCTTACAAAAGGAAGAAGAAGAAGGAGAAAAGATGAACATCTTTAAGCATCATGGCGTAACTTTTGGCATGCATATACTTCTAGCACTCCTTGCTCCTTGATCCTTTCCACTTTCTCTCATGTAACAGCTACGTCTCTTGGTTTGCTGGAAACAAGAACCACAAAAGATGACAAATAATTAGATATCATAGGCTTGTTTAGTAGTGTAATTAGTTGGACTTTCATTGCAAGCTAGCTATGTGCAAGGATTACATACCAAATGATCTTTTGCAGTGGAGAATTGCTTCATGAATTGAGCTTTCAATATCAAGCCTAGAGTCGGTATAATGTGATGGACTTCGCGGTGGAGAGGCCTGTGGTGAATTGCTCAAGATTTTAGTTTCTGAGTTCTGCAGTCTCCTACAAGCATCAAGTGTATTGCTTGTTTGCTTCACAGCGGCCCAATTGGCAGCAGAATAAGCAGTTCGTCGATCTGGAGATGCCTGCTGTGAATTGCTCCTACTTTGAACTTCCAAAACTTTCCTGTCTAAATCATCTACCCTAATGCTTTTTCTTGACCATCCAAATCCCTGGCAGAAGGGCTTGAGAAGCGAAAAACATCTCTGCAAGACTTTGTTGGATGATTTCGTCCATTTTCTGCTTGAATAATATTCACCCTGATAAGCTGAAGAAACAGATAAAGTTCTGGAAGAAACTGAAGAGAGAGGTGTAGCAGGAACTGATAATGAGGGCTGCATCTTTGTCCGATTACGATTAGGAAAAATTGGCTTGATGCATCCTTCAGCAAATATTTCATCAGCATCAACAAGAGCAAGAGAAGATCTAGAGCCTGGAGTAACATTAAAATCAAACTCTTGATCATCTTTGAAGATTTTGTTCAGGTGATGAACCATAGGTACTGTTTCGCTGGAAAGATCAACTGATGGCCGGAGAGATTCAAGAAGGCCATCCAAAGAAGGCTTCTGGTTTATCAACCAACTATAAGAAAAACTATCTGTTGCAAGGGGTTGGGAGTTGTCCATGGTTTTAAGGAGACCCTTGAGTCTTATCTGAGGAGGCAATTGGAAAGAATTGCTCAGAAATTAACTAGCAGTGGCTAGAGGCTGAGAGTTTTCCATGGTTTTATAGCAAGTCTCGTCTGAGGCACAAATGAGAAAGAAATGCTTTTATACTCAGCAAAGATGGGAAAGAGTACGCCACCATGCCTGAACATTTTACATTGACCACAACACAATATCATGGTCCATATATACAGCTGCCAAGAACAAGTTCATGCAGCATTAATATCCACCTCACAGTTATTTTTCACTAATTGACTTTCAGCAGGCCTCTACATTTAACTTTTGTAAGTACTTACCATTAGCAAGTAATTACAAAATGCTGGACCAGTGGACCTCAAGTTAACATCTCTAACTGACACTCACCATCTAAATCGATTTAAGAAAATAGGCTGTTTTGTTTTTTGACAATTACAGCGTTATCTTTTAATGCAGCAAATAGGCCCAGGAGATGAAAACAATCAAACAACATCAGGGCAATTCTTAACTTCTTTCATCAAAATCAAAGCACTCGGCAATTTACTACTGTCTTTAGTGATATAAGACGAAAAGTTCACGAGCGGCCATCAAAGACACTCAAATTTCGGATACAAATGGCGCCACATATAATAAACTAGGCTGGTGCTGTAGAAGCTTGATTATAAAAGGAAATGGGTCTGTATAAATATATGTTTGGTAATCAAGGATATTGCTTTTAGCAGAAATTCTTTGGACCGACCATAATGCGCATAATCATTAGTTTAGCAAGTTGTTATAGCATGATGCCTCAGAAAGGGATGTTTGGTGCCTCTTTGAACATTTTAATATGCATGCAGTTGCCAATAGCATGCTTCAACCAGAACCCTTCCTAGAATTCATCGTCTGTTACTTTCCCGGAGATTTTTTAGCAACGGCAAATAGCAATCAGTCAAAGTCTGAGGTCGTTTCTGTTCCGTGTTTCAATTCCTTTTACCCCATTCTGCAGCCACGAGAATAGTGAAAGTAAAGGGCTGTTCGTTAGCAGAAGGAAATCCATAGCCACAGGCTTAGTGGTTAAGCAAGAAGCAAAGTCTATTGGTACTGTATCGTATAGTTAGTGACTTTTGCCTTCCGGCAACAAAGTCTTTGATGGTGAGCAATTTGAATGTCAAACTTCCGACGGCTACCAAAATTTACACACAGAATGTGAATGAGACGGTCGTAGCTATAAATGCTGACGGGCAAGAAGCCAAGAACGCCATTCACGACAAGGCATTAATTATATTAATTAATTTTCTATATATTGGCAGTATATATATTACCATGCTTATATTTAGATAAATACCACGTATGTTGAATTTGAATTTGAATATGTGACATCCATCTAATCATGATAGTGTATATACTATCAGTGTATATAAGATTTACTGGTCTCTGTTGAGCCATTAAATTAACATATTATGTCTTCACTGTATATAAAGTTTGAGGTCTCTTATTAAGTCATTTTGTTTATAAAATGGTTCAATTATTTTTCAAAAAAAAAAAAAAGTCTCTTCTAATTTTTCCTTCTTTTACGTTTTAAACTTTTTCATACTTTTGCACAACTTTTTTTCATGTTTATTGCTATTGACATTCTTCAAATTTATGCATCAAATTGGATCAGTTTGGAAAAAATCTACAATATTTTTAAAATTTTATTAAGCGTGCCTTAATCACTAGTATACATAATGTAACAGTGTCTTTTCTTTTTCCCACCAATTGGAGGCCTATACATCTAGATTCCTACGCATTTAGTTGCATTTAATTGTCAATGGTGCCTTGGCCTAGTGGTCAAGATTAAGGTCTCAAGTCTCAACAGTTAAAAATTCTGGATTGAAACCTCACTTATTAATGTGAGTTTGTCTATCTTCATGTTAGTTACAATCCCATTGAAGTACTATTTCAAAAACAAATGGGATTTGTGATCACTGATAAACGAATATTTATGTATATAATGACAAACAAAATCGGTCTATACCTATTAAAGTTTTAGGATTCAGTAATTTCCAACTTTTAATTAGAGGTGTAATCAAGTCAAGTCGAATTCAAATAGTGTACTATTTGAATTCGACTTGAGTTAAAAAAAACTTAAACTCGATCAAATATTTTGACTATCAATTATCAGTATCAAATGTACCTAGTTAAAATTTTGATTGTAAATTATCAGTATCAAATGTACTTAGTTAAAATAGTAATTTTAAATAAATAAATAAAAAAAGAACAAAGGGTCCTTTGCAGTTTGGGAGAAGGAAATGAATGAAATATTGACGGACAAAGAAAAGATCAGGTGTGCAATTGAACCAAGTTTTATTGAAATCCCCTCCTTCAATCTCTAATAGCTACAAGAGAGTGTGGCAAACTATCTTCTATTCCAGTTTAGTCATATACAGCCAAGTTCTTACTTTTTAGATCACAGGTTACAGGGTAAGTAATACTAGTGTATGTGTTTGGATAACTAATTTTTTTAAATAATATTTCACTTGTATCATAAATACATTTTTCAATTCATCTTTATATATTTTCAACTATCATTCTATTTTACGTACATCACATCATGAAAGTGCTACAGTGATTATTTCAAATAATATTTCAAATAATACTCTCTATTCAATTATTATTTAGATCATGACAATATACATAGGCCTGTCAACGGTCCGGGTCCCGGACCGGATCCGTCAAATAATTTCTGGTACAGATAGGGATATAATTCCGTTACCCGGACCTGAAATTCGAATCGGATATAAATTAATTAATAATTTAAAACATATATATTTATCACTATAATACTCCAAATTTACTTCAATCTGATTGTTGCATCCGTCTCGCTAGTATAGGCTAACTTCTATTTTTCTATATAGTCTAAAAAATGTAAGCTAACGTATGCTTAGTGCAATCATTTTTGCTTACTAATTTCCTTTCCTTTGGCTAATACTAGTTTTGGTGTTGTATTGATTACTCCGCTGCCGCCTAAAGTCTCCACCAGTAGAAGAAGATAAGAGTCTTGCAAGCTGCAACAACGAAAGAAGAAAGTCTCGCCCACAATATTTGACTAAGTTTAGTCAAGGTACAAATCCGAAGGAATAAAACATACTACCCTAATACCCCAATTTTAGACGAGCGCCGCATGTCTCTCTCACTCTCTCTTCTCTTTTGCTGTCCCCAATTTTAGCCGTCCCCTTTCCAAGCTTCAAAGAGGAGCAAGACAAAATCTGAGCTTCCAGTCCACCGCCTCTCTTTCTCTTCGGCCCCGGGCAATTAGTTAAAAGGAAGGAAGGAAGGAAAGAAGCAGTTGCAGTGCCCAAACCAATTTTAAAAAAAAAAAATCTGAAAGGATCTATTTGCAGTGGAAGAAGCCAGGTTGGGTTTTGTTTTGCTTTTTTCTATATCTGGGTCTGTTAACTGTTAAGGAAATAGAAGGGAGAGGGAGATTCTCTTCTCTGAAATGTAAATACACTACTACATAGATGGATAGATGGAGCAAAAGAAAAAGAAGCAGAAGAAAGAGAAGTGAGAGAGCAATTGTTGTTTAGTTGGTTTAAATGCAGTCTGCAGTGGACTGGATTGGTGGGGACCGTGGGATATAATCATCATCCATTCTTCATTCTTCATTCTTCATTCCTGCGGCTGCTTCCTTCATCATTTCTGCTTCCTGCTCTCCTCGATTTTTCCGTCTATCTTTCTCGATTTTTCCGGATAGACCCGACCCGGATCCGAGATCAGTCGGATTTGTTCCGGAACCCGTTTGAAAATCCGAATCCGATAAAAGTATGACAGGTCCGGATCCGAAATAATGAATTTCGGCCGAATCCAACAACCCGTTGACAGACCTATACATACATATAGTCACATTCATTAGCGATGTGGTATAAATTTATTTTATCCTGATCCTAAAAGGTTCAAACGCATATGTAAATCCAAATTATCACTCCTCAGATAATTAGGTAATCCATGAGTGTCTGCTTGATATCCTAAACTTTTGGGATAAATGAAAGAGAATAATTAGGTAAATTCGAATTATTACTTTTTAGATAATTAGGTAATTTAACAGAATATTTGGTATTTAATCTAGAGATTCTTGTTAGGCATAATGTAGTGAACCTTGCTGCATGAAATGAACTGGGAAGAAGGAAGATGAAAAAAGTAGTGGCTTATTTTATTTGTGGACTTATCTTGTGTTATTTGTATACTTACCTTGCACAGAAAAGGGAAAAAAATTCTATACGAAAACAAGTCTAAAAAGCCTACAAAAAAAAAAATCTTTCATTTCCAAATCAAACCTTAGATAATGAGCTTTAAAATGTAGAATTTGTCAAGAAGAAGGCTTAAAAAATGAAGGAGGTCAATGCTAAGTTTCAGCTAATACTTTAAAAAAAAAAAATCAAAACCATATTACCTTTTTAATAGGAAGGAAATCTTAAAGAATAATTCTTTAAATCTATTATTGCATGATTAATCCCTTTCCATACCACTATTGGAACATGATTAGAGATTTCCTTTTTAATACCCATTTTAAATCCTTACAACGTAAAAAAAGATCCAGACTCAACCAGGGATATGATGAGTTGATGACAGTTGTTTTTTTTCTTTTTTGGCCTTTTCATTTTTTTTTATTTTTTATTTTTTCAACAGGAGAGGATTTGAGATTTAAGAAGTAGGAAGGGAGAAGAGGGATTCGAACCCAAAACCTCTGTATTTAATTCCTTTCCTTGATGCGTACAAATCACAAAAATCTAAAATTCGAGCCATGGTTTTTGGGAAGGTATGGACGATTGCTGTTCACAAAATTTATTTGATAATTGCGTTATTATAACTAGGTAGGTCCTGATAGCACTACGTTATAGCGAAAATGGAACCATGACTTTTTTTTTTCCCTTACTTTCCTTTGAATCTTTTTGGTAGGTCCTGATATGGATCTAGTTGTCTTGGATGATGATAGATTGGTTGCTAGACAATTTTGTACACTACGATACGACAGCTGTTGTTGTATCACAGGTGCTGAACCAGAGATCCACATCTAATCGAGGGTAGAAAAAGAATCAGCTTAAACTTGCAGTTAATGTTACGCGTTTGGAGTCCCAGCCTTGATCAACCGCGCTATCTTTTTGCGGCTTCTCTCCGCGGGCGTCGCTGTGACACCAATTTTATTTCTACATTAACGCTCCTACAAATTATTTCATTTTGAAAGAACATCAAGAAACAAGCAGTGCAATACCAAATCCCGATCCCCTTTTTGTTAGGTAAATACTACCAGCCCTTTTGTTTTTGGGTTTACCGCCCCCTTGAATATCTCAGGGGCCGGTTTGGCTTGCAATTTTCAATTTTCTTCTTCATTGGTGTCAACAATGGAGAAGGATAACAAGAAGTACATCACGGATGAAGAGCTGAAGAAGCATAACAGGTCTGATGATTTGTGGATTTCTATCCATGGGAAAGTCTACGATGTCACAGATTGGGTAAAAGACCATCCCGGCGGAGATGTTCCCATCCTGGATTTGGCTGGCCAAGACGCAACCGATGCGTTCATTGCTTTCCATCCCGGCAGCGCATGGAAGTATCTTGACAGATTTTTTACAGGTTATTATCTGAAAGATTTCCAGGTTTCAGAGGTTTCCAAAGATTACCGGAGAATTGCTACAGAATTTACGAAAGCTGGTATGTTCGAGAAAAAAGGCCACGGGGTGGTTTGTTCCCTTGGCCTGGTTTCATTGTTGTTTTCAATTTCCGTTTATGGTGTGTTATGTAGCAACAGTTTCTGGATGCATATGTTTTGTGGTGCCCTGTTGGGGTTCTCGTGGGTGCAAGTGACTTTCTTGGGTCATGATTCTGGACATTATCAGATCATGAGTACCAGAGGATTCAATAAGTTAGCCCAAATCCTCACCGGTAACTGCCTCACTGGAATCAGCATTGCCTGGTGGAAATGGACGCATAACGCCCACCATGTCGCATGCAACAGCCTTGATCATGACCCCGATCTGCAGCATTTGCCTGTTTTTGCAGTCTCCACAAACTTTTTTAAATCGCTTACTTCCAAATTTTATGGAAGAAAGCTGACATTTGATTCAATGGCGAGATTTCTTGTGAGTTATCAGCATTTCACGTTTTACCCAGTAATGGTAGTTGCAAGAATAAATCTTTATCTGCAGACGCTCTTGCTGTTGTTCTCGAAAAGAAAAGTGCCAGACAGGGCACTGAACATTTTGGGCGTCTGTGTTTTCTGGACATGGTTCCCTCTGCTGATCTCATGCCTTCCCAATTGGCATGAAAGGATATTGTTTGTTCTGGCAAGCTTTTTCGTGTCTGCTTTCCAACATATTCAGTTCTGTTTGAACCATTTCGCTGCAAATACCTACGTTGGAGCACCTCAAGGGAATGATTGGTTTCAGAAACAGACCAGTGGCACCATTGACATCTCTTGCCCTTCTTGGATGGACTGGGTCTATGGCGGATTGCAATTCCAGCTTGAGCATCATTTGTTCCCCAGGTTGCCCAGGTGCCATCTCAGGAGAATTTCGCCCCTGGTCCAGGACCTCTGCAAGAAGCATAATTTGCCTTACAGAAGTTATGGCTTCTATCAGGCCAATTTGACAACAATCAGGACTCTTAGGGCTGCAGCATTACAGGCTCGTGATCTCACCAACCCTGTTCCGCAGAATTTGCTCTGGGAAGCTTTCAACACTCATGGCTGAGGATTTCACGGATGCATCAAATCTGTCCTTTCTTTTTTCGTTATTTAGTCCGAGTAGGTCAGTTATTTGTCTTCTAAGCATTGTTTGGATTTGATTTTATTTGCAAAAAATTATCTGATTGTATCGTGAACGCATCTTCAAATTACCATTTTATCTTTCCAACTATCTTCTTATTTCATATATATCACGTTACAAAAAGTGATATATAATAATTTTTTAAAATATTATTCCAAATAATCTCCTATCCAAATGCAATAGTTTATGCTAGAAAACACTAGAACTAGTAAAATAAATTTTAGGAAAGAAAAATAAAGAGGTAAAAGTTTGCATGCACTTTGGCATTCTGTTCTTGTGATTCAGAGGCTAACCGTACTGGTTATACATCAAGGACTGTGTTATAATGTAAATACCTCCAAATCATAATTCATACCTACATTCCAGTCCCCTTGTTTTTTTTTATTGCCGTTCATGCAATGCAGGGGAGTTAGCAGGAAGTTCTTGATGCAAATGAAAGATCTAGTACTTGATGACTCTTTCTTCTTCTTCTTCTTAATTTCATTTTATTTGTTTTTCTTGAACATCATTATCAAGCATTGCCTATAGGAGTTAGTTAAGCCTTGAGAATTATAAATAATGCCAAAAAGTGTACAAATTTAAGGTTATTCTAGGTTGCAATTAATAATATTTTTCCCATTTAATTAAGAAAAAATAATTATTCGGAGTTTGTACTCCATTTTTTTTTCCCGGTTGGACTCTAAACCTATGGTCATCAATTTATTTTTATAAACAAAAATAAACCTCCTATGCAACACTTATTTATTTGCATGCACGTCAAGATTGAAAGTATATATACCGTCAGCATCATCAGTGCATGATTATATATAAGATTAACTCAATTGCCATCATTGGACAAAAGGCGAGGAGTGGGCTAAACTGATGGCCAAGACACTGAACTGAGTCCGGTTGTTGATTCAACAAATTACAAATCCATGCCAAGTTGCGAATTCGCCGATGCTTTTAGGAAGAGTTTCTACAGGCCCAATGGGCTAGCCTCTCATCAAAAAAATAATGGGTTAGCCCAGTATAAGGCCATTATATAAAATATCTATCTTATCAAAAAGTCACCTTGCGCGTTCCATCAGTCCGTTCAGAAGTGTATCACATCCACCAATCACAATTTCTTTTTGTCTTAATAATTAATCGCCAATTCATAATTTTTCGAATTATCTAAAACAAAACTTATCCAAATTTGACCCTCCTCCCCTTCTCTCTCTCTCTCTCTCTCTTGTTTTCCTCCCTTCCTTTTTCTTTTTTTTTTCTTTCTTTCTGCCATTTCCGAGGAAATTACTACTCAATCCCGAATATTCGCATAGGAAAAAAGAAATCGCAAATTCCTTTGGAGCATAGAAGAAAAAAAGAAAAAAAAAATGCCCTTTGCAAATTTCTCCCATTTTTGATTACCTAAATCTTGACGTCCAATGGCACTTCTCGTATCGCCGGAAGTGGCCTCTATCTGCGGCCGGCGTTGTGAAACTCCGGCCAGGGTTCTCTCTTACACCAACCGGAAAAATGTGGTTGCGGTTTCTAATGGTGGAAAGAGAGCCGTTAGGGTTAGGGTTTCTTTGGAGGAGGCTAATGTTTTGAATTTGGGGAGAAATGTGGGTTTGTTATGCGGTGTCGGCCATTTCTCTGCTCCGGTGAAGCAGGCAGTCACTGTGCCGTCTCCGAAGCCGAGCAAGGAGGAGGAGGAGAAGCGAAATTATTATCTGAATACGGGTTACGCTATTCGGACCCTCCGGGAGGAGTTCCCTGCCCTGTTTTATAAGGAACTCACTTTTGATATTTACAGGTTATAATCTTATTTTTCAAATTTGTGTTTCTGATTTTATCGTGTTAGACGTGATTGTCCTTTTTGGTTGGTTTAAGATTTTTGGATATATTCCTTATTGTATCGAGATCTGCGCATTTTAATTTATGGCTATTGAGTTAGAATGGAGGATTTCGTCTGGCCTCCAATTTGATTATGTAATATTGTTAGTCCGATGGAATGATTTACCAAGCTACTTAGTATTTAAGACGAGAGCAGCTCGATCTCTGAGCACATAAGATTGGCTCATCAACAAACAAATCAAGCATGAACAGGATTTAGTTTTCACAAACTATCCAATCTCAGATCGCTCAATAAACTCAAAGCCTGATATGTACGTGTAAATGAATGAAGCTACTTGTGCTCGAGTAAATGTTGCCTTGCTAGAAGCTCATTCAATTTGAGCTCGTTAAATTAGTATCAAACTTGAACTCTATGATATTTTGGTTCGATTAAGTTTGTTAATACCCTTTCAGGCAGTGTTGAATTCTTGAATGCTCTGGCTATTCTGGTGAGTGTAGCATGTGATTATAACTTGTCCTTCTGTCATTTAACTCCAACTGAAAATCCACTTAACTCAACCGTGGTCCTTCTCTATGATCAGGGTCAGCTACATGATTGCCATTTCGTAGATATTTGATCAATGAAGACAAACTCGCAAAAATATTACTATGTGATATGTTGACAGGATTTTCATTTGGAAAGTTTCAAGTTCTCTTTGGATCATAATATGTTAGCTATTGTGGTTCCTCCAAAAGATATATTTTCACATAATCTTATCTGATCAATGATGACTTCTGTTCAGCAGATAAGTTCCATGGATATAGTAAACTACTTGATTGTAACTTCGCGTTGTATGTCAATCTTCTTGTGTGTTGATGAATTACATGATATATCTTGCTTATTTCATGCATAATCGAAGGTCTGATGTAATCTGGCTCTGCAAATTGCGAACTTTATCTTGGCTTGTACATCTTTGAACTTCAAATTTTGTTTTAATTGCTTAATTGTTAATTTTTGAGCTATTGTTGATTGCCTCCTTCTTCTTCTGCATAGGGATGATATAGTGTTTAAGGATCCCCTCAACACATTTGCTGGGATTGAAAACTATAAATCAATATTCTGGGGTTTAAGGTTCCATGGCAGAATATTTTTCAGAGCCTTGTGGATTGACATTATCAGTGTATGGCAGCCTGTGGATAACATGATAATGGTCCGTTGGACTGTTCATGGCATTCCTCGAGTTCCATGGGAGAGCCATGGTCGATTTGATGGTACATCTGAGTACAAACTCGACAAAAATGGGAAGATATACGAGCACCATGTTCACAACATTGCTTTGCACACACCCCCGAAGTTCCGTGTGCTTGCTGTTGAGGAATTGATTCTGTCTGTTGGCTGTCCCTCAACTCCAAAGCCAACTTGTTTTGAGAGCTCATCTTCTTCCATCGGAAATATTGTAGAACCAGTGAAATTCAAAGGAGTCGAGCATTATGTATCTTCCATCTTAACTGGTGTTCATGGATCTGATTCAGAATGGTTGAGGAAATCTTAAATATGGATGTAGTCCTAGAATTTTGATCAATTTTGTCCGCCTACTCTCTGATGTCTTATATCAGTTTATCTGCTGTGAGTGGAAAAATTCAGTTTAGCCATGAGACGGCCAGGGAGTTGAACTCATTATTGGAAACTCAGATTATACCTCATGATGTCTGATCAAACGCTTCTGTGAGCTGCAGCTGCATAGCCTTTGTAATATTATAGCACTTGAGTTGGAGTGGATTCCTGCGGATGTAGCCTCTGGCGCGTATTGTGTGACTGTAAATCTCGTGTATATAGTACAAGAGCGTACTACTTTAGTTGTCTGTTTGTACTAGTTATTAGTTGTAGAAACATGATGTAAAGTTGGTGTATGACTTTTAAACTGGTGTACCTTGATGCTTCCCTCTGAGTATCGATCAACAAGGTCAATCCGACCTATTACTAAAAGGCTAATAGCCTTTGGTTGATTCCTATTCTGTTATGTATGGTGTTTGTGTTTTAGTTGATTCGTGTTCTGTTGTGTATTGTGTTTTGCATTTCAACAAGATGGTGAATTTGCTATATGAAGTAAACATCAAGGATTCTCGTTGTGATTCAAAGAAGGATGAATTAATCACACTGTCTATGGTGGAAAATGATATGAATATTGAGTTTCAAAAGCTTGCTGTTAATCTGAAAAGGACCGAAACCATATAAGAAGCTTTGCGGAATTGTCACTACGTGGGCTATCGCAACAACGAACAATTAGGACTGCAGTGATTGTGGCCCTGGACATCAATCTTAGTTCACTCTGATTGTAAAACTCTAGTTACCGGAGGCAAAGGAATCTCCCATTTAGAGAAGATATTCTACACCTAACTAGGCCCTTTTGGGTATGTTCCTTCATATTTACTGGGAGAGAATATAATTGCATTGGTTATGGTTTGGCGACATTTGCCGTTAACCAAGTTAATGATGCAGGTGGAAGTCATATTTTCCTGCGTGGCTTAGTTACGAAAGAAGCACATAGTTGATTCTCTGGCATTATATATATAAAATCTATATCCAAGAATCCAATGATCTTGCATTCACGTCATTCAGACAGATCACTAATCCTATGCTTCAACGTGGAATTCAAGTCTTATACCTTGCAACTGAAACATGACAAATTGCTATGCTCTGAAGCCCCGTGCCTACTTATACAAGTTGGCTTTGTACTAGCCTATTTTATCTTGACGCTGGAGATTTCATTTCACCCATCCCCCAAGATTCCAATTAGGAGGGCTGCATAGCTACGGCAACCATTGATATAAACCTTGAAAGAACCCACCTCAATAGTTAGATGACATCAAGAATTAGTCTTAATCGATTTGAGTGGCCTTCAAGCCAAACGTAAGACAACTTTTTTTTTCTTTTTGATTTTGGGGGAGGGGGTAGGGGTAGGGGTAGGGGTAGGTGGGAAGAAGACGAGGTAAAATGCATTTTCCAAATGAGAGGAAAAGAAAATGGGAAGAGGGTCAAATTTAAAATTGGTTGTGAGACTGACAAGTGATAACTGGGTCGCGGTCCTCGCGGAGGCACATGTCAGCCAGCAAATAATGAGGGACGGGACAAGTCGCCGTAGTTAGTTTAATATCCATCCTTCGCGGTCCACCGTCTTTCCACTGGTGGAGTCTGGGTGGCCTGCGGGTCTCTGCTCGGTTCAACCGTCTGCTCTGTGTTATCTTCCCACCGTAACAATAAATACTGCTGTACTACACATGCACAAAAATTTA